ACTTCAGAAGCGACGTGAGATACGCAGCTTCTGCGAGGCGCCTCTCCAGCGAGAGCCGCTTGTCAACTAAGCGAGCCAGTCGGAGGGGGTACGAGGTCGCCGGCAACCAGTGCCTCCAGTAGACCCACCCGCTGGCGACGAGGAAATACTTGCGCACTCGCCGCACGAGCACCGTGTCCTGGAGGAACGAAGCGAGCGACGCATGCCCTGCCAGTAGCCAAATCCACGTGATGACCGCCGACCTCTGCGCGAGCGCGGTGCTGAAGAACTGCATGACCCTGTAGGCCGGGGAGAAGTCAGGGTGGGCCCAATCCAGCGCGGGGGGCTCTCTGCGTCTCGCGTCACTTCGGGCAGGCTCGCCGCCGCGGTCGAGCAGCCAGTGGGTAATCAGGAACATCGGCTCGAGAACCACAGCGTACAACAGCAAGTTCAAGCGCGAATGCGGATCCGCCCACCACTCCTGAATGGCCGTGACCCTCTTGCCAGAAGCGGCATTCCAAGAGAATTCCCGCACGAGCTCATCATCCATCTTGGCCTTGGAGTGCCGGCTGGCATCAGCCGCAGCTTGGTCGAGCTCCGCGCGCAGAGCCTCGAAAGCCTTGACCATCAACCCAGGTAAGATGGAATGGACGCTAGCGCCGATCAAATGGAAATGCACTGCTGGCCTGGTCTTCGTCCACCTGGCCAGAACTGGGACTGGCGGCCGGTGCCGAAAAATGGTCCTGATGATCGCCTGGGTCATCTTCCATACCGTCTCATCCCAGCCCCCCTTGCAGCACGAAGGCCCAGCGCAGTGATGCAATAGATACCCAGACGAGAACCAACTCGTCAAACCGCCGTTAAAGACTCCGATGAAGTACTCCCACTGCTGCCACTGAACATCGTCTGCTTCTGTATCCGGGTCCCCCCGGTCCTCATTGCGGCTCTGTGGTGCAGAGAAATACTTTATGAAATCCTTTGCCGCCTGGATGTCCGCCGCGCCTGCAGGGTGCGAGAGCGGGCGGGCGTTCTCGCGAACATACTGCTGAACGCGTAGGATCAGCCGCATAAAATAACCCCCAGTCCGTAACAAGAGGCTGGATGAGTACAGCGCTGAACAAATAGACATACCGAGCAAATTGATTAAGAAACCGATGGCGAGGTGATTCTGGTGCACGAGGCAATACAGATTCTCTGGTATCTCTTTGGGCCCGAAGACTTGACTCGCAGGGTTGGCCTCGTGGGCAAGGAAACGGGCATTGGGCGCCGCTGCGTCGCACGACCGAAACCGCACGGCAAAGTCGGCCCTCCTGGCGAGAGCGCTGGTCAATTCCCCAATCGCCTTGCTGGTGACGTGGCAGTGGATGGCGTCCCAAATAGTACCCGAATCGTTTCCCAAACAAGGGATCAATGGACATACCAACTCCATGTAGCCGTCTGTCCCATTGGGGAATCCCCAGTAAAGCAATCGGCGCACAACGAGAACTTCGTAGCTGGAGATCTGCTGCGCTGTCGACAACGCGCTGTGGAATGGCAGGGACATAACGTGTTTGGTGCCGTCGAACATCAAGGTCTCGTAGAAGTACGTGAGCTTGGTGTCCTGGATGCCGTGCATAAGAGTATTGGCCACCCACTTCTGGTACCATACGTAGGCATATGCTGTGACGTGCCGCGACCTGCACACAACCTGTCTGGACACGCCATGCGCCCTTCCAACATCTAAGGCTCTGAGCATGGGGTCATATGCTATGCGTAACACCTGCGGCAAGCTGGCCATTGCCCGGCTCGATACGCTGCGAGGCTTGGCTTCCAGGGCGCGGATGTCAGCCTTCCTCGCGGCGCTGGCGTGGTACTTCGTGATGATGTGCATCTTCGTAGCGTTAGCTAAAGAAGCTGCCAATCTTTGACTCGCTTTCCGCCGGCACTTCTTTTTCAAGTATGGGGCTATGCGAGCGTGCTGCAAGCCCTTCAAGCGCAGGGCAGAGTGGTTCCGAATCATGTCGCAAGTCATCTCCACATTGGTGTGTCCCACAGTCTGAAAGTACGCTTCCCTCCGCTTCGTCTTGGCAAGGTTCATTTTGACACTCAGCCATGCATGGTCCAGCTGGGAGCGGGCGCGAGGGTTGCCTGGGACCCGGGGCCGCACCGGAACATCTCCCATGCGAGGCCGCCTTCGCTTTCGTGATTCTCGTGCGATTGCTCTCGCCACGACCGCACTGGCGCCTGGGTACACCTGTTCTACCAAGGCCGCGTCTTGTCCAGCAGCTGCTGCAGCGTGCGCCGTGGCCTGCCCAACGGCCGGTGCAGCAGGTGCTACGGCGGCTGCTGGGCACTCAGCGTCGCTGTCATCCGACAGCTCCGCCGAAACGGCCGCCAGCCAGTCCACCATGGGGCACAAGCTCTAAAGGCTTACAAGCCTAAACAAGAGCCCAAATGGCTACGCGGACGGATGATTATGATAATGATGCCGATGATGATGAGGATGATGATGATGATGATGATGATGGTGATGGTGATGGTGATGATGATGATTGTATACACTTTTCGAATTGTGCGTGTCATCCTTGCGCAGGGGCCATGCTAATCTTCTCTGTGTCGTTCCAATTTTAACGGATGACCCCCGAAGGGAATCCATGATGATGATGGTGGTGATGATGATGATGATCCCGCTCTCCAAGGGGGGTCGGAACCGACACGCTCGCGCCCACCGTTGCTAGTAAATCCGCTTTCCCAATCAAGAGGGAGGTTGGGCCGACGCTGCACTCTGCAGCACTGTGCCCCGCTACATTGCCCTCAGGGTGGCTTACTCGAGGCCTACTACTGACCGACCGAGGGCGCCGAAGGGGGCGAAAACGGACCGACCGAGGGGTCCTACCGATGGGCCCAGAAACGACCGCCACATCGATTGCCCCCAGGGATGGCAAGAAACGAGCGGGACAGATTGGACCGAGAAGCCGAAAAGCCCGCACATCAATGACCGTAGAAGCAAAGCAAATAATGAGGAGGGGGAGGGGGGAGGAGGCAAGCATTGACGGACGGGGAGTAGGGGAAGAAACCCAAAGCCTAAAACCCTTGAGAGCCCCCTAACCCCTTAGTACCTCCGAGCCCTCCTGGAAACACCTTGGACCTCCTCAGACCTCCCCAAGACTATGTAGACCCCACTGGCCCCCCGCAAAAACAATGTCAAAATCCTGCGCAAGCTTCGAGGAGCCCCTGGAGCCCCCCCCAATTTCCTTCCTGCCCGTCTCCCTTACTTAGCCGTCCTTCCTCCGCCTCTTCGACGTACTCCGCCTCCTGCCTACCCGCCCTCCCCCATCCACCTTTCCCAGCGCGCGCTGCGCAATCCGGACCAGGCCCGCGCGTGAAAGGTTATGCCCGAATCGCTGTGCGAAGGCACGCTCGGCCTCCCGACCCCCGCAATCCCTAGCGAAACTACGGCGGTGGCAACGAACTTGTTCGTCATCAGGGGGCCCCCTCCCACGAGTGGCGCATGGCCGCGCCAACCGAACGACTTCGAGCGAGGAAACGATGTGAAAGCCTCTCGTCGGGCTGATTTTGTTGCGGGAAAGCGTCTCGATAGGAACCGGCTTCTGGAGAAGCGTATCGACAGGAACCGCCCTCCGGAGAAACGTCTCGGCACGCGAGATAGGAGACGGAATGGGGGGAGGAGGGAAGGGAAGGGGAAGAATGGAGGAGGAGGAGAATTGCGAGTGGGACGAGGCATAGCCGCCTCGAAGACCTCGCAATCCCAGAGGAGCACAAAACAAAGAAACTCTTCCACTTCTTTGAACTCGTAGAACTGTCGCACAGCTTACTGAAGCAACCACGAAGAACTTAGAATTTAGAGCCCCCTAGCGTCCGTTATGAGTTATGGGGACACTGACATCACTCCTTCCTATCCCCCCCATCCCTCCCCTGCCCCCGCAAAGCTATCCCATGGGAAGGGGGGTGGGGGACAAAGGAGATAACGCAAAGAAGGGAGGAGGGAGGAATGGGGAACAAGGGCTGCATGGATGAGATGGATTGCAGGGAGGACGGAAAAGGAGGAAGACGGGGGTCGGTAGACGGGAGGACTGGGAGGACGAGGGGCCATAAAGGATGGATAATTTTGGTCACGGACTTGGCTTTGGGCACGCAAATTCAAGGCCCGCGGGGCCAAGTCAATTCGGAGGTATCCGAGAAAGTAAAAGTGATAGGCCGGGTGCTCAAAAGTTAAGGGCCGGGCGGCCGAAAGTTAAGGGCCGGGTGGTCCACAGTTAAGGGCCGGGTGCTCAAAAGTTAAGGGCCGGGTGGTCCTAAATTAAGGGCTGGGTGGTCCAAAGGTACGGGCCGGGTGGTTAAAAGTTAAGGGCCGGGTGCGCCGCGTGCACGTGTGCGCAATGGGTTTTGATAAGGGCCGGTAGGGGCCGATACGTGAGACCAAGGAGGACCCCACATTAGGTGTCGCTGGGACCCTATAAGATATATACATGTACTGCGCCGGTGCCGAATTTTTAGCCTGAGAGGGGGAAGGGAGAATGGCCTCCTCCCCTCGCCTCCCTCCCATCGCCTCCCTCCCTTTCCCTTTCCCTCGCCTGCCCTCCCCCTCCCCCGAGAGGCTGCCGAAAATTGTGAGTTCGGGTGGCTGGGGTCGGCGCATGACGCGACGCATCGCCGAGGCATCGGCGATGCGTCGGGGTGGACAACATCGGGCTCTGCATCGAGCCCTCCCGCGGATGCATCAACGATGCGGCGAGATACACTGACCCAAACTGCTTCGGACCCCCATAATGGGTGGGCCGGGCTCTCCCCCCCTGGCCTCCGACGGCTCGATGTTGTCGGGGGGGCCCCCGGCCCCCCGGGCACGCCAAGGGGCGAAAACACGGTATGCGGGCGCGGCGACGGTCTCAAGGGACGAACTTGGACAAGCGAGTTCCACTACTCGCAAAGTAACTATTCGCAAATGGCCTGGATCCAGGGCGAGGGATCAACGATCTATTGCATAGAGACACTTGGCGAATAGTGGAGCGCGCTCGGTGAGCGGTTGACGCGTGGCCATCGGCCGGTCCGAGACCAACTCGAAAGACCCCTGGCGATTGCTCGCGCCACCGATCAGGACTTCCAGTGGGCACCGGTACGGCACGAGACAAGAGATACTCCTCCCCCCCCTCCAGCCGCTAGGCCCAAAACCGCCAGGCAGAGAGCCTCACATGCAATACAGGTAGCACTCGGCAGCCCAATCCAGGCACGGCAACGCCGCACTGCCGGAGCACGTCTGCCCGTCCGCGCAGGAGCCGTTGACGCGATGGCCGCCGGACCCGAAGCTGCCGCAAAACCGGTGGCAGATACTCGGCGCGCCGGGAGGGGAGCCCGCGGCCGGGGGCACGCACACCAGGCCGTCGGCGCAGAAGCCGTAGAAGTGGCCCGTGGAGCCGCTGCTGCCGCACTGCTCGCCCTCCCGGACCTGCGCCTCCTCCAGCGGCGGCAGGCAGTCCGCGACCTTCGTGTTGTTCACGCACCCCGAGAAGCCGCGGCTCGCCGAGGGGCACGGGAAGGTGGCACCCGGGGCGCTGGCGAAGCCTGCGCAGCACTGGTCCCCCGCACACTTGCTGGTCGAGCCTGGGCACTGCACAGTGGCCCCCACGGCGCAGGTGAACCACGTCGGCCAGAAGGCGGGCGTCGCCTCCTGCCCTGCCCCGGCCGCCTCCAGCAGCGAGGCGGGGCACGCCGGGGCCCCCCCGCCGGTGTCGCAGAAGCGGCAGTTCAGTCCCACGCCGCCGGCGTTGCACCCGACGCCGCCAGCGGTGCTGCAGCTCGGGTCGAAGAAGCACTTCTGCGACGGGCCCGCGCAGCTGGTGGTCACGCGGCCTGGGCCCTCCTGGCACGGGAGCAGGGCTGGCGTCGGCGCGGACGTGGGGGCGGCGGTCGGAACGGGCGTAGGGCTGGGCCAGGGGGTGCAAGAGCTCTTCGGCACCCAGTCCGACGCCTTGGGGCCGCAGACGCACCTGTCGTCTCCCGCGAAAGGGCTCCCGTTGCAGCTGGTCGGGTTCGAGGTCCCAGGGCAGTAGCACGCCGACCCGCCGCACGTGCAGAACGGAGTCATCGCCTCCTGCGACGGCGAGCGCAGGGGGGAGCGGGAGAGAGGAAGCCTTCTCAGAAGGCTCGGAAGCCCCCCAGCCCTCTGACATAGAAGCGCTCTCTCTATCAGCCCTCCCCGAAGAGGCACACACAAAGAAACAGCTTCCCAGAGGGCGCGAGGGCTTCTGAGCGGGCCCTCCCACTTCTGGAGAGGCCTCCCCCCCTGTGCTTCCTTTCGGCGTAAAAATATTCTAGGGAATATTTTTCGACTGCGGGCATTAAATACGCCCGATGTATACATCATAACCACTGAAGACATAAAATACGCCAAAAGACATAAAATACGCCAAAAGACATAAAATATGACTTCAACAACATCAAGAAGCAAAATGACAGAAAAAAAACATAATGACAGAAAAAATGACAGAAACACAAGAAATGACAGAAAACTGGCATTGGTATGCTAATATATACTATAATATGTATGTTGTATACATATATATATATATATATATGTATATATATATATATGTTATACTGTATATATGTACTGTAAACATGTGTTGCATACTGTGTTATATGTTACATAGTATATACGGTGTTCTATATTGTATGATATTCATTATATATTGTATAATATGTATGTTATGATGTATTCTATATAACTACCACACATTATATACGGTATATTGTACTTATATATTATATACAACCATATATAATAAACTATACTTTTAAACTGCATACTACATACGATCTAGCGATGGCGAAGGCGGGCATGGTGCTGGTATCGGTGTCGACGCGGTGGCGATAGCGATGGCGGTTGCAGGTCATGGGTGCTGGTGGTTGCGGCGGTAGTCGGCGGAGGTGGCGATGGCAGGCGGCGTTGATTGTGGTGGCGGGGGTGGGGTGTTGTGCGGTGGCGGTGGTGGAGGTGTTGTGTTAATTGGTGGTTGACGATTTGCGGTGGTTGGCGGTGGTGATGGCGAAGGCGGTGGCGGTACTTAGATCGCACCACATAGATTGCACAACGTAGCGTTGCAACGCATAATGTGTCATTGCCAACCCGCGGAAGACGGAGGAAGACATCAATCAGCTTCTCCACACGCCTTGTATCCCATAGCTCGCGGGGGTCGGCAGATCCTCTATCCTGCACCCCTCTCTCACCCCTCTATCTGTGTGTCTGTCTGTGCGTCTCTCTCTCTCTCTCTTTCATTCCTGCTGTTCCCAGCCAAGCCTTGCCATCGTCCTGCCCTGTCACCCGCCTTCGCATCGGAGCCGACTTGCTGGCCCAAAGTGCACGGGAGAGATCTAGATGGGGCGGGTCAAGTGCTGGGCAGCCGACGATGGCGATACCCCAGCTGCGTTGGCCCCCTGTATTGTGCCCAGCCTGAGCTTCGTTCTCGATAAGGGGCCCTACATGAGCAACGACATGAAGCTCAGGAGTGGTTATGATCAGGAACCTCATTTTTGAGCTACCACGTTGCATTTATCTTCCTTCTATGTTCCCCCTCCTCCTCCTCCTCCTCTTCCTCCTCCTCTTCATCCTCCTCTTCCTCCTCCTCATCCTCCTTGTCCTCCTCCTCGTCCTGCCCCTCGTCCTCCTCGTCGTCGTCCTCCTCCCCATCTTCCTCCTCCTCCTTCCTTCTCCTCCGCGTTCCCCTCCCCTTCACCATACTACTCCGATGGTGTTCTGGCACGGTTGTCCTGTCTTCTGTCCAGCTGTCCCCATCGTTGATATTGTTCTAGTGGGTTCGCATGTTCCCCCAACCTCCGATGATTCATTGCTGCCCCCGCCCCGTTGGCCCGCCTCGCCAGCCGTACATGGAGTCGTGCTTCGACTCATTGGAGCAACTGTTCAAGCTCGACCCACGCGGTGGCTATTTCTGCCAGGAGCCCCGACTCCCTCCCCAGCCCGCGCCGCCACCCACCCCGCCCCACGAACCCGCAGGAGGACTTCAAGATTGCAGCGCACAAGGCCATCGCGAACCTGAGCGATGAGGAGAAGCCCATCATCAAGCAGAAGCTCAACTTCTTCTCTCACAGCCTCAAGTGTTCGGAGAATGAGGCCTGCGAGAGGGTAGACGAGGGATAAGAAAGATAGATGAGGAGGAAGATGAGAGGTGGATGAATGATCATGGGTGAGGGTGCAAGGCAACGACGAGAAGCAGTTTGAACATAGTGTGGCGATGTTGACAATGATGATGATGATGATGATGATGATGATGATGATGATGATGGTGATGATGGTAGTGGTGATGATGAGGATGATGATGATGATGACGATGACGACGATGATGATGATGCTGATGATGATGATAATGATGATGATGGGGGTGGTGGTGATGGTGGAGATGGCGTTGACGCCCACAGCAGTTCAAGCCGAGGGGTCGATCTGCGAGGTGGGTAACAGCGGGTCAGCGGTAGCGTGAAATAACATGTCTCGAGGCCGTGGAGCGGATCGCCTACGGGTTCAGGGTCATGTGCAGCCACGTGCGGCTGCGCTACGACGCCCTCCAGGCACGCACAGCGCATTGTGTGTTTCTCTGCCTCGTTCTCTCACTCTCTCTCTCTCTCTCTCCCCTCTCCCTCTCTCTCTCTCTCTCTATACATATATATGCAGATGTCACCGTGTCTCTGTCTATGCCCCTGTTGCTGTCTCTGTCGAGTTCTCTCTATCTGTCTCTCTCCCTTCATCTGCGTCCCTGCTTCTCTCTCTATCTCTCTCTCTCTCACGCTCTCGGTCTCTCTCTCTCTCTCGTATTCCCTTCCCATGCGCTTCAACTCTAGCGCATTGCAACGCAAGGCCTCCAGGGACGACGGTGCAGAGACCAAGGTCTCCGAACGGATGGCGAAGCTGTTCCAGGATGTTCGCATTTGCTGTTTTTTTGCTGCTGGGTGCTAGGCAAGCGCAGTCGGACCATGAAACATCCCCCGTGGTCGCCAAGATAATCGCGCATCGCGGGTGCGGCGTGAGCAGCCAGGGGGCGCAAGTTTACTGGATAGCAGCCGCCGCGAGGGCGCGAAGAAGGCGCGTGATGATCCAGGGGGGGAGAGCGACCAGGGTGGGAGCGGTGAGGAGGTGTGGGATGTTCACGAGAGTGTGCCCCCTCCTCCTCTTCCTCCTCCTCCTCCTCCTCCTGCTTCTCATCTTCCGTCCTTCCTTCCTTCACGCAGTCCTTCCACTCGTCTTGCTTCTCCTCCTCCGCCTCCCCCTTCATTGCCCCGTGCCCCAGGGCGCCGCCCCCCAAATGATAACATTCGCGCGTTCGAGCTGATCCACCGCCACGCTGAGCAGAGGGGCCCCGATACCGCCAGCGCCACAGCGGAGAAGACGAAACCCCAGGTCGTTCAGAACCCATTCGTGAATTTCCGCACGGGGCCGACGAGCGCTGCCGAGGACACATGTGGGCCCGAAGCATCCGACGAGCCCGACCCAGACGCGAAGCACGTCGTGGCACGCTACTTCGATGGGAAAGAGGATCGGAGTTTTATTTCGAACTGTTGGGGTGTAGTTTTATTCACGTTTCATACTCGTTTTTGTTGCGTCTCCACCCTCTGCCTTTCCAAGTGCAAACCTTCACCGCTTCCATCGGTTCCCCTTGTCGTCAGAAATGTGTTCCGCACCCTTCGCGTTCACGTTCGCTTCCGTTGCCGTCCCTCTGCCATTCCAACCCCCAACTTTCCAGACTCCTCGCGTGTCATCTCTTCGTCAATTCCGTCTCTCATTTCCCTGTTCTGCCTCTGTCCGCTGCCGTCCAATCAGCGCTCGGCCCATCTTCCGCATTTGGAACCCACGTGCGCTATAAGACTACCGCGCCAGCCCATTACACTATACGCGGACGGTCACAGCACAACGGGCACGCTGAAGCAGGGGCCAAGGTGGGACACCTGGAAAAATAAGAGGCATGAGACGTGAAAGATAGAGAGAGATTGATGATGATGATGATGATGATGATGATGATGATGATGATGGTGGTGATGATGATGAATGCTAGGGGAGGGGTTGAGCTGCCCTTTGTGCAGAACAGTCGGGCCGCTGAACAAGGTCCACTCGCTTCAGTTTACGAGCTCGCCTCGAGTCCTGGGTTTGCAAATTCGTGCCAGCGTGTGGAAAAGGCGTCGTCCCTTTCTGATCGATCCGTCGGTCAGCGGCAGCGGCTGTACGTAGCGCCCCCCCCCCCTCCTTATGTATGATGGTTTGATTTCCGAGAGGGGCTTCCTCATCGCAGTGCACGATGACCTTCACGAAGTGGAGACCGAGATATTGAATCAGATGTTGAGTGAGAACGGCACGATCGAGGTAGCCAAGCCGATCGCTGTGCCGAAGGGCAAACCAAAAGGGAAAGCTAAAGGGAAAGCTAAGGGGAAGGCCGCCCTGGTCAAGAGGCCTGCAGCTGCTGATGATGAGGATGATATCGAGGCCCCCCCCGCGAAGAAACCAGCCGCCAAGGCAGCCAAGAAACCAGCAGCGGCAGATGACGTCCCTGCTGAGAGCGACAGCTTCAAACCTGATGACGACGGGTCGGGGGAGGAGAAGGCAGAGGAGGACGCAGAGGAGGCAGTGAAGAAGGCGGCAGAGAAGCCCGATGAGAAAAAGAAGGGGTGCCAAACTGCGTCGTTCGTGGTCAGGGCGGGGCACGGCGGTGCTGATCAGATGCTGTGCCTATTCTTGCAGACGGAGTCGAACGACAAGGCGCAGATAGTTCAGGTTAGTGCGGACCAAGCGGGCACGGATCAGACCGTTGAGGACTTGTGTTTTTGTTTTTAGTTTGACACGTGTTGTATCGCAGTTAAGCGGAGTCATCGTTGACATCGTCGTTGCATTATCGTTACCACCGCCACTATCGACGCATCAGTTGGGGCCCGCAAGCCCTGTCTCCACGATCTCCAACGTCGTGCTTGTAGTAGTTCATTGTTGTGTCGCCAGGCGCACGTCCAGACTGACGTTCCAGAATGCGACACGCAAGAGATGTTGGAACAGTTGGATACTGTGGAGACGGAGATTGCGGCTCTCAAGTGGGATATGGC